CACACACACACACACACACACACACACACACACACACACACACACACATACACACACACACACACAAACTATAGCTATAATCAGCCCCGCTAAGTCAATCAGAAACAAGATGTCCATTGCAGTGACCACTCAAAGACTGATCAAGCACATTCCAGTAGTTCAAGAAGTAAGTCTGGTTTTGCAAAAGACGAACAAAGAGAGGGTAAGAGAGAGTTCTCAGGCAATGCCTGGCATATGCCAACCACCTTGCAAAGCATCTTCACACCTATGTTTGCAGCCAGCTGCTGATAAATTGGACTTTGGGAGAACTCTGCTGGCAGACACTGTCCTTACCTCTGGGGCCTGAGAAGGAAGTAATGCTGTAGCTTTGACGCAATCAGATCTCTAGGTACTCACAGAAGCTTGAGTGCTACTTTATTTCTGCAGTTGCAATTTAGCTACAAGAGAAAAGACTTGTGGCCTAATTGTTTTGGGTAAAGCCAAATATATGGGAATTTCTGTTGAGCACTAACAAGATCCGAAAAATGAAAGAATGAACCAAATAAGAAGGGGGAAATTTAAATTTATCGCTATGGGATTTGCTGCATGCATAAAACATGGGAAAGGTTAGCGTTTTTGTTGCTCAGCAGATGTTTTAGAAAGATGAAGCATAATTGACTGGGATGTAAAGTTAATTAGTTGCAGAATATTTTGTTGCCCCGGGCCCATTCCGATTACACCATTGCACCTGCAATTTGCCTCTGCGCATATGCGTACTCCTTTATGGCGGGAGGAAATTTTCCTTTAGCTTCCTTTCCTGACCTATTGTTAGAGAGATCTAGTCCATGCTCCGCAGGTTTTCCTACTACAGGTCACCAATTAAAATCAGATACATCGGTAGTCAAATGGATAAAAGAAGACAAAGCCATTTCCAACCCGAACTTTTCAATCTGCTCCATGTGTACCACAGACCTTCTTCCGCTTTTCATTAATTTCCCAAGAGGGAGAGAAAAAAAAAAAAAAAAAGCTCAGCCTGCTGTGCAAAATGAGATGGGGACATCCGTAGCACAATGGCTCTAAACAGCATTTTCTGCCTCAGGATGAGAATATTTAACGGCATTAAGGGTGACTACAATGCCAGTAACAAAACGGAAGCGTCTGGATGCATGCTGACCGCGTCTTTCTTCGCTGCTAGTGTGAGGTCTCAGGGTAAGCTGTTGGCATTTCTTGTTCTGTACAGCAGATGTCGTGAGTCAAAACTTTGTTCAGACTGAGGAGTGAGCAATCCTGAACACTGAAGGTCTTTTTTAAAGCATAGAGTTTTTGCCATCTTATTTGGGGTCCTGCCCATGCATTGCATAGCTAACTTTATAAACTCTAACAATTGGTTCTTCTCTAGGTTACATCAGTTCATTGTTCTGTGATTTCATTTTAACAGTTATGAAATTGTGAACATAATATTCAAAGCCCTGCTAAATAATTGCTAAGTGACTCTTAGGACATGGATTGGCTGGCATTTGACTTTCTTTATCTTGTCAAACATCACTACTGTAGTTAAATTTTGTGATATGTGAGATATGTTGAAATCCATATATATTTTGTACTTATAAACTCCATCATAAGTATGATTTTACAGGTTTATTGAGCCATAAGCAACTATTTGCAGTAAACAAGACAGAAGCATTACCTTGGCTACTGCTGAGAAGGGCAAGATATGCCAACATCAATAACTATTAATGCAAAACGCATTATGGGAAGCTTTGTCTACTCAATCAACAGGGGCATGCCTGGTGCTGCTGTTGTTTCTTTGTGTAGGTAAGAACTTCATTAGGATTGTTTTAGTGGATAAGGAAAAACCCAATCTCATTACTGCTTTTCCTGTCCCTCCATTACCCTCTCTAATTGTCTAATTGCTGAGTCTAATCTGCTGTGAACTGGGAAATTATATAATCAGGCTTGTTAGAATTTCGTCTAAAATTTAATAGGCTTTATATCAGAGCTTGGGGGGGAGTCTTTTATGAGTAAAGTACATGCCCTTTGAAAGTGTGTTTCAGCTGCTTGGAGCATTTCTTTTTGTTAACTTGCTTCCCCGATTTTCAAATTGCTTGAGTGGATAGTTTTGTTCTCCCAGGACAAGGGCGACATACATGCCATTCTACATGCCTTCTTGTAACACAGCATGTCCCTTTTTTCCCGGAGATGGGGTTGCATGTCCATATCTTGAATTTGAACCTGATTAAAGGACCTTTGTGCCCAACAGAATGAAGCAAGCTCTGTGGATGTCAAGTCTTTGTCTTAGCTGTTAGGTGATCTTAGACCACAAGGTCCCTCTGCCAGAAACAAGGAGAAGCTACATGGAGAATCTTCATGCCGCTGAACTTTCAGTCTTTGATTTAGTAGTCAAAGATGTGAGTGAAGAAGCACACCGATAATTGCATCCTTGGCCATTTCAGTCACATCCAGCTACTCGAGTCTTCTCAGTGATGGCTCACACATCAATGGCTGAAATCAAACAATCCTCAGTGCATGACTTTCTCACCTTTGACCTACAAAACCTGTACCATAGCAAAAGGACTGATGTCTCATATGCTGAAATAAAAATTTCTAATTTCTTTAGAGACTCAGTTGTATCATGTAACGTTTTTTTCTGGAAACTGCCTTATAAGAGAATGTTTTTGCTCAAGCTGACATGTGGGAGGATGTTTTGCTAAGAACAGACATGTGATGTTTTGCTGGAGGCAGCCTAAAAAAAATAACCTGTGATAGTTTGCTAAAGTGAATGCTGGAGAGAACATGTTTAAAGAGGATAGTCCAGTGGACTGTAGCTGATGCTGGATGGTATTGGTACACCCTGCCATTCTTTGCTGGTCATCTTTGACTTTTGCTGACACTGATCTTCGCTTATGAGGCTGGGTGATATTGATATGCCTTACCATTCTTTGTTGGTCATTGTTTGTCATAATTACATTAAGAGAAACACACCAAAACACCTCTGGAGATGTTCTAGTGCTGACAGCTTCTTGAGGCTTCTTGCCACTTCTGTGGATTTGGGCTGATTGGCAGAGCCATAGTGTTTCTTATAAATCAACCTGCCATTGCTGATTCACGAATGGTGTTTGCAAGTGGATCAAGCGGCTGCTGCCGACTCATGTGAACTGAAGTGCTGATATCCTGACAACACACATTAGATTTGCTCTACAGAACTATCTCTAAACAGGTCCACATCCTTTCTTCTACCTCTGGTGGGTAATGGGCTAGAAAAGAGGTTAAAGTATTTAAGAACCCTTATTAAAAATATGTTTTTTAAAAAATCTAAGCCTATAAGTTGCCATTGGCTTAGCAACGTTTTGTGATTCAGCAATAGATTACCATGCTGCACAATTCCATTTGGCTATAAAAGTAAATAAATACTTAATAAAACCTTATCACATAATGGCTAAAACTTTCCATCTTGGAGGCAAACTTCTCAAGACATAGGATGGGAAAAAACGAGGAGAAACAACAGGACATTTTAAGACAGGATTTTTGCAGAAAAGTGAAAAGACAGGATACTCTAACACAGAGTTTCTCACCTTTTCTAGGACTGTGACCCTGTAATACAGTTCCTCATGGTACGGTGATCCCCAATCACCACCTCAAAATATGTTTGTTGCAATACTGCCGCTGTTATGACTCATAATGCAAATATTTGTATTTTCTTTTGGTCTTAGGCAACCCCTGTGAAAGGGCCATTCGACTGCAAAAGGGATAGCAACCTACAGGTTATTAGAAGTAGGGCAGGCAAACATTCCATCCTTCAGGGAAACTCCTTGAGACATGAAATGAACAACTCAAAATAGCTCCAGAAAGTGCCTAAAACTACTAACCAGACTCACTGTGTTTTCTCCCCCACCCCAAAGTATATAAACAGTGAAACTTGTGAGAGTCACTCTCGAGGAGCTTCGGTGCTTGCAGGCTCAGACCAAGCAGCCTGGGAGATCAGTCAAGCAACCTGAAGGAAGCAGAAACCAGAGAAGCAACTAGGAACGAACAGGCACCAGTCAAACTGCCAAGAAGAAACAAAGCCCACCTTAGCTGCCTGGAAGATACTTCGACTACCTGAGGCACCAGTAAGGAACACCCTCCCAAGTGTAGAACTTCCTGTAATCTGGGTAATGTACTCCAGGTTTCCACCTCATGTCACTTGTTCTGGGACAGACTTATAGTGATAACAGTTGTTGTAGAGTTACCTCTGGTCCTCTCTTAACCCCAATAAACCCCATTGGTTCACCAAAATGGACTTTAGTGCTGCCTGTAATTTTGTGTGTTGTTAGTCTCCTCTCTGGGATAAAGTGATGTTTGCTCAGATCTGCCCAGGAGCAGCATCAAACAACATATACAAAGGCATGTCTTCAAATCTATCCTAAATACTGCTCCCTGTCTCACAGGATATGATGACTTTCCATGGTTTCTTACTAGCTGGCATCCAGAAGACAAATCATTTTCACCATTGTGACTTCAGGCATTCGGACCCCGTATACAAAGAATACATATAAAATGTTTGCATAAACTTATATTGGAGGACAGCTCAAAAACAAATCGATTTATCATAATATAAAATACCTATTATACTTTATAATACAAAGTGCTCCTGTTATTCAAAAGGAGACACCTTATGAGTAATGAGAATATTTCTTTGACCGGGTCTGAGTAGCAGAATGATGTATAAATTCATAGCTAGTATTAATGATGTCCTATACATACATACCAGTGATAATTTATGAGGACAAATAATGGGAGTGAAATCAAGCATGAGAATAGACTCACGTTAGTGCTTCCGAGTAATTATAATGAGGTGTAACTCCCAGAAACTTCTGGACTTCATCCATCACAGTAGCTGGGTCAGATCTCAGCTGCTGTCCATCAATAATTAGTAACTGCAAAGCCAAAAATAGTCACTTTATGAAGAACAAAACTGAATTAAATCAACCAAACTGCCTGCCTTGACCTGTATGGCATTAATAAGTCTGGTCACTTTGAGAAGAAAACATGTAATACGTAGAATACATTTAAATGTTGCTCTTCTTGCTTCTTTCCTAATTAGTAATAATTAAAATTTTCCATATGCATTTTTTGTGTGCCTGTGAACTCCGTTTATTCTTAAGTAGAAATAAACATCAACATCTGTTGCTTTTGAATTATAGAAAGGACAGGAGTTTTCCATCTGTAGTGTATATTACCTGTAGGCTAACATCCAGCCTACTAAATGTCATCACTAACCTTGGGGCCGGTGGCTAAAGAGTGAACAATCAGGGTAAAATCCCATGTAGTCTTACAAACTCTGATTAGGGGATGGAGAAAAATGTTTGTTTCTGACTTTCTCATCTTGGGTCACTGATGAAGAATATTAGACTCACTCAAGGGATGTATAAAAAGAGTGTCAGTATCAAAGTGCACTTGGAGCTTAAATTGCTCCCTGGACATGGAGGATGTGGATGTTTTTCTCAAATCTTACTATACCTCTATCTACTGGGCCTTTCTCTCTATGGCCATCCAGTTTAAGAACATCTTTCCGAATTAGGTTTCCAGATAATAGGGAAACAGCTGGAATCGAAAAGGAGATTTTTACAAACTTCTGGCTAACTGACTTCTCAACTATGTGTTGAGAGTTTGTAATTTTGAATTATGTAACGCTTCCTTCATGTCAATGTATTCCTTAAAACGAACTGATAATCAAAAAAAAAGTTTCCTAAATCTGTGTTTCAGAGCCATCTGACTCAATTGTATGGCATTAATAAAGTGAAACTATGTAAAAATCTACAGCTTTTACTGTCTTTATTCTCTCTGGTGTAGTTCATCACATTTTCTGTTTGGCAGTGGGATGCAATTGCAGTATGATAAATGGAACCTAATTTCATGCTATTACCTGGGAAGTAGAAAAGTAGGCCAGCCATCGTTCTATGTGTACTGCATACCACCCAGGTACCAGACATCTCCTCTGCAATGTTTTTAAATCAGGAGGGGCCCAATGTCCTGTTGTGATAACTTCATAGAAATTGAACCTCAGGGCAGCTGGATCTTCATGAGATCGTTGGTGCTTCAAAGGAAAAGTCAAGTGTAGAATTAGATTGTTTTTTAATATTTGCATAAGTATGTGTCCACAATTGTGCATTGGGTACATCATTTATTTTAAAAACTAGACTTTTACTAAATATCAGGTGATGTGCAGATGTATTTGCAGTCGGTTTTGTTTTAAAATATTTAGGTAAAGGGAAGAGATAATATGAGAGGATTGTCTAAAAGGATCTGATTAAGATTGAAAACATGTTAAGGACAGAAAAATGAAGCAGAAATTCAGATGGGCAGAGGTGAGCACTCATGTTGCCTGGCTTACTGAGTCATCACAGCTCGGGTGGCTTCTCTATGTGGCAGGTCCTATGCATGCGGATTCTGATTGCTAACCATTGCTTCCATGTCCTAATCATTAAGGTTGTCCATAGTGTGCTCTGTGGGTTTTCTCCAAAACACTATTTCACTCCTGCTTTTCAGTACCAAGGCCTAGGGGACTTGCACACAAAAGTACTATTTGGCAAAGTTACAGAGCCCAACTAAATGAGAGACAGGCTTAACAATAGAGTTGTTTGAAAATGTATTAGTCTCATCACTAGAACAAAAACAGTGATAGTTTTTTATTATAAGAAGTTAGGAATCATAATTTTTTTTTAAAATGAATCCTAGTACAGGAGACAGTAGAGTAATTGGTAATAACAAAGCCAAGAATTTGACTTATGCATAAGAAGTTTCTTAATGGTGACAACCAGGCCAATAAAGGAGCAAACCAGACTGACAAATGAAGGAAACATTAATAACAGGTGAGGCTTTTGAGTTAAAATGTAACAAGAAAGCCTTCAATAATAAGAGAATAAGAAAACAGAGAGGGAAAGATAGATAATGCCAGGTAGGAGTGAGTTGAGATGGATAAGTTGTGTGCATATAAAAGAACTGGTGTTGCATAACATCTAAAAGTTAACAAAAAGGAAATCTAGCCTAGAAAATCCATGATAAGATATAGGGCCTGCTCTGTATGCCAATAGTTGTTTTTATATGTTTGAAGTAAGTCTTACATGATAATTATTCAGTAAAAATATAATTTAGTGAGGGGTCAAAATCAAGAGTCATAATTAACCACCTGCTGAATGAAGCTAATATTTTGTTTTAAGCATCATGCTGAAGACATTAATGCAGATTACATGACTGATCTAATCAAGAAACACAAAGAGATTCAAGAAATATGAAAAATAATTGTAAATATTCAGCATATGCATATTAATAGAATACAGCAGGGCTAAAATATCTGATACAAGAAGTGACAGACTCATAAAAGTTTAGCATCGAATTTTCTTTGTATCCCTGCAACTAAGATTAGCATAGAAATATGACCAGAAAGCCACAAAGGAACATATTTTATGGAAAAATAGCACTTTAGCTCCTCTGTGCGGTCCATTATAAAAATGTGGGGTAGAAATTACAGTGGCAGGTGACGTTCGTGAGGGTTTCTGATGTATACCTATGGAGCTGCAGATTTATGGCCCTTACTGAAAAGACAGGTCCACCTAAGTAATAGGCTACATTATTTTGAAATGTGGAGCACTTTGGGGCCCTAGCCTCAGCAATACAGGCAATAAAAAATATTATCAGAAAAAATAATTCCCTTAAACCTGTGTATTCAAAGAATTTATTTGGAAAGCAGTCAGAGATAAACACCGTATTATGTACATTCTGTTTTATTCAAGCGATTTAGTCTATATAGAACATATATTTTAGTCTATCCTAAATAGATTAAGCATTCAGCATTCTCGCAAATATTTAAATTTAAAACTTTTAATTAAGGTTTATGTCTCAGTGTTTTGGTAGGGTTTTTTTAATTAATTTTATTATGAGAGCTTTGCAAATAGAATTCTACACACCCAAATTAACAAGACCCTAGGTCTATACATCTTAATGAACTTCTAAAATGTTAGAATAGGCATTTTGAAAATGTGAGACTTCACATTGGACTTTTTATTTTCACTATAGAATGTATTGTAGGCGCTTATCCACCAACACAACCAAGAATACTATGACAGAGTTAAGAGATGGAAAACGTCATAGCCTCTTCCATAAACCATGTTCATGTGCTATATCCAGTCCTATACCCCTTAATATTTATGCATCCTTTAATATTTATACATGTTATCCAATATGTGCTGGCTAGGTTTAATATCAACTGATACAGGATAGAGTCATCTGAAACGAGAGAACCCACAGGTAAGAGAGCATCTCAAAAATAATCTGGCTGTAGAGCATTTTCATAATTAATGATTAATGGGGAAGAGTCCAACCCATTGTGGCAGGGCTTTCCCTGGGCTGGATTATGTTAGATAACCAGCTGATCCAGACAGTATGACTCACCCCAGCTCACCCCAGCCCACCCTGCCCCTAGACTCTACGTCAGCGTCTACCTCTAGGTTCCTGCCCTGTTTGAGTTTCTCACCTCATTTCTTCTTCCATGATAACAGTGATGTGGACTCCTAAGGCAGTGTTTCATTGTAGCAATAGTATCCCTCACTAAGATACAATTGTGTATCACGTTAGGTAGTATTTTTTTTAAAGATGGATTTATCTTGCTCCCCTTCATACGTTTTTCAGTAATTTTTAGCATAAAGGTATGCTTTTTGTTTCTGTCAGTGAAATACAAATAATGAAACTAAGAGTCAATGAAAATATTTTTCACTGTGAGATCACTGTGTAATTTTTAAAAGGAAAATCCTTTGTAAAATATCTCACTGCTGAGTGTTATTCAATTTTGATTGTTTCTAGGCTGGCTCACTTTTTTTGTTTGTTTTACAAAAACCAAAAGTATATCAATGCTTGTTTCTTTCGAGTTGAAATACAACCCACAAACTATCTCCCATACCTATAGAGAGAATGTATTGTTTTCTAATACTGGAAATGTGTGCAGTACAAGTTTTGTAAGTAGTGTGAATTTGATACCACTAAGAATTATTTTCATTAACTGGAAATAAAATATCAGTCATACTATGGTTCAGAAGTAAATGTGGGCTGATGATTTAAACAAAGAGAAAGGAAACTCCAGAACGCACATGGAGAACACGGGTGGAAAACAAACTTTCTTTTGCTTCAGTAAATGATTGATAATCTTAGGAAATAAATTAGTAGCTTTTCCTGTTTGTATTCTTATATCTGGCTGAAGGGACAGAAAAAGAATGACATGTGTGCTGTTTAAAGTTTAAGAAGGAGTACATCTGATTCCAGAAAATCTGTCCCTGGATACAGGCCTCGATTCATTTCTCTTCTGGGCTGTTGTTCTACCAGGGCATGTAAGCTCGTTTTCAAAAGGAAAAAAGTACATGGTACTCAGATAATTTTTGTTTGTTTGTTTTTAATCATTTTGTTTGGTGTTTGCTTCTGCTAGATAGTGCCAATGTTAAAATTCTAGGTGTGCCATCAATAAAGACAATAAATCTGATAATTTGAAAAATAAAAAATCCAATTAAGCTGCAAAAATAAGAAAAAAAGAAAAGGAAAGGAAAGAAAAAGAAGACAAAGACAATTCTCTCTCCCTTAGCAGCCATTAACTTCTCAGCAAGGATTGGAGCTTTGAGGGCCCCTCCCTGATGGAGGCTGAAATCTTTCTCTGCCTTGATGTGTACAGGTCTATGCAAGTAGCCATGGTGGCTGTGACCTCGTGTGTGAAGCAGCTATGTCATGTCCAAAGGATGCCAGTTTACAATACTTTTTGTTGTTTTCTTTCTAATTACGTTATTCAGCTTTATGGTTTGTAAATATATTTCTATTAAACTATTGACCACAATCATCTCATCTTGCATTTTTTACAGAAGTGGTTATCCATTTGCTGCCCTACTATGTATTTAATCTTTTCTCTATAGAAACTTTTCATTTTAAATCATGTTCCCAAGACCATGGAACATGTTTTCCCTAAGCCCACATTTAATACTACGTAAAACTGATGTGGTTTGTGTTTTCCTTCTGAGTCATACCTTTGAGTCCCTAGCAATGGCTGCCATACCAGCTTCTTCTCCACTTGTGTATTCACCAACCACACACAGTTTTGTTCTTTTAACCCTTTTGCTATCGACAACACTTCTCTCCATATCATTTAGCTTGATGAAAGTGATTCAGGTCTCTTTTGTGTATTTCTCTAATTTCATAGCAACTGATTGGCGCTGTAGTCACAACCCCATTTGACAGCATTGCATTTTCCCGTGCATGAAGTCGTTATGTTCACTGTGGTCTCTTTAATTCGTCTTTCTGCGCGTTTTTCATCTCTGAACTCTGTAGGTGATCTCACTATTTCTGTTTCCCAGGCTTTATGTCTCTGATTCATAAATCCTTGTCTCTAGCTCAGATTTCTCCCATGACTGACTATTATGCATATTATCATAGGGGTCTATATGTCCCCACACAAGATCATCTCTGAAAGTCTGGCATTCCACATCTTACCGTCTCACAACTTCCCATCTTTATTCAGCATTTCATCCTACATGAGGATGTAGCTTTTCATTCAGATGCCTAATTCGAAAGAAACTCTGTTCATTCTTGAAATTTCTTTATCAAACCCTGTTGATTCTAATCTCTAAGCACATATACTTTACATTCCCTTCAGTGTCTACATAATGGCTTTATCTACTCATGATTTCTTTTTTTTTTTTATTGGATGATATATTTACATTTCCTATGTTGTCCCCTTACCCCATAAGACCATTACAATAGGTTCAAGGACGATATCTCTCAATGGTCCTTCCCAAATTTATGCTTTAAATAGCAGATTTTATATTCCCTAAAGAAAATATGATCATGGCAGTTTTAAGTTGTTCAGAACCTGGTAACCCTAATGGGTTTCAGACTCAATGTTTTAAATCACCATCTGGGTTTTCATATGGGACCACAGTGAACTACTGTTAGCCTTTTAAATGTGGTATGAGTTTTTATAAGCAGAGGGCCTTATAATATTACTCCTCTATCATTGTCTTCTACTTAAAACAGTTGATACATATTTGTCCTTGAGCTTTAGTCCAGAGTTTATTTGGATAATAGAGAGTGTGCTCAGCATACGTTTAAAGAATTCCTCAAAGCACCCTCACAAACTGATGCCAATCACATATTGCAATGTATAAAATGAGAATAAAACATTTCCCTTCACAGCTTATAGATTAACATTATAATTAAATATAACAGCACAATATTCAAATCTGTATTTGTCATTTTTTTACTACTGATTAATACTTAGGGCTTCAATATACTTAAACATTTGTCAATCTATTTGAAAATGTCCTTATAATCAATTCCAAAGTCAGTAATAACAGTAGAAAAGGTTTTAACATACCTATTGTGTTATCTATCTATCTATCTATCTATCTATCTATCTATCTATCTATCTGTCTATCTATAGTGGAATGTTTGCAAGATCACGCCTTGCCAGCAAAGAAGTATAATACAGGTCTTGTTACTATATTAACAAAACATGTCATTTTAATTTATGTTTTATTAACCTCTAATTAAGTTGGGCATTTTCACATAAACTACTGAATGGTTACACTTGTTATGTAGTCGTCTGTCAGTTCCTTTCCTCACTTGTTTCCTGATATTATTATGTATTTACTTAATGTGCTGGAGAACACATGTAAATTAAAGCACAAAGTAATTTTCCTTTCTAGAGATGCACTCCTTAGATACTGACATTTAGATTCAATACATTTTAACAAACCAACACTTAACATGTTTCGTTTTGGAAGTATTTTATTGTTGAAATCCCTTGACCAATTCTGAGTAAGTTAAATATTTAGGTCTTCATAGTTGAATGAATGGATGCATGGATGGATGGACAGATAGATTAGATAGATAAATAGATAGATAGATAGATAGATAGATAGATAGATAGATGATAAACAGACATGTAATATTGTTTTAGGTTAAGATATTTTTACATTTGACCCTTTAGTGTATTTGGGTTTTATTTAATTACTAATTCAAGTTACAACTGAATGTACTCAGAACTATTCTTCTTTATTCATACCTGGTACCAAGAATATGCCCTGTCCGAGGGGTCTATAAGGATAGTGATGATCTTGGCTTTGGGAACAAGAGATGCAGCTCTTTTGGGCGCCTCTTCTGAGTGGAAGTAGTTAGCACTCTTTTCAAATAGGAAATCACTGGTAATGTTGGAAGGAGTTGGGAAAAAGTCCATATACCTGTAGGTAGGGAGAATTAATTAATTAATCTGATCAGTACTTTTTATTCTGCTGTTGTCTGTAGGAGGAATTTGAACAGGTTTACATTTCTTTGCATCCAGTTAAAATTAGTGTATTATAAAATCAGCCAAATAGGCACCATGCTGTGTACGTCTCATGAGAAAGCAGCCCCAAAGATGATGTCCTTATGACGCATACGGCAAAGAAAAGAGTGAGAAAGATTAAGTGAGTTGATAATGAATGATAGGAAAACACAGTGGGCTTGAGCTGGCATTCTTTGTTATTACAAGACAAATCTAAATCTACAGTTTATGACTGTAAAATACAAATCTGTACAATCATCTTGACTGATACTTTAAATAGTAAATGTGTGTTTGCAAATTTGAATATTAAAATTCTTAAGGTTAGATTCATGTTCACAAGACAGAAAGACATGTAAGTCAAAATAGCTATTAAAAAATTAAACAGATTAAGGCAGAGATGTTCTCCTTTATTAACTTCTATAAAATTTAGTAGTATGTGCAGTAATATCAGTGCATTGTAATTTATATAGAGTAACTAAGGGGGTATTTCCTGTGAGTCAATCCTACAGTGCCTCCATAGGTTTGCTTCTCCGTATGCTGTCAGACTGTCCCTCTGCGTGTAGATTATGGAATCAATATGCTCTGAGGCGAATTCAGTACAAGGCTTTAATTATGTGTGTAACCCTCTTTACAGCTCATCACTTCTCTCATCCTCAAATGTTCTCGAAAAAAAAGTAATGGGAGCAATTAAGAATTCATAAAAGACACTTATTTTCCTAGTTGACATTTGTTATTATGTTTCCCAAATGAAGAATACTGAAGAATCTCATCTGTATTCTTGCTTTAAAAATTGTGCTCCATTTCAGCACAGAGATAAGAGAAAATTGCTTTTTTTTTCTTTAATGATTTTCATGAAGTTCAAAATGTAAAAGTACGATATAGTGGTAACATCTTAGATAGAGAGTGAACACAATTTCACTCAGGATGAGAAGTGTGATCAGGTCACTGGTGTGGCTTTTGTCAGGCCTTGATTCTAGAAGGTTCATGTGTTGTGGTAACACAAAGAATAATATCCTACAAATTGTTCATTGAAGGAAATTTTCCTCATAGGAAATTTTTCTTATCTACCCAGGGAATTGAAATTAAATTCAGGATCATAAGTTCTTGGAAAGTTGGGATAGAGCCAGAAAAATAAAATTCATTAGAGTGAATACCATCTCCAATATTAAGTTTATTAATTTTAACTTATGGAAAGTATTGTTATTTTAAGAGTTTTCTGTCATTTATCAAGTGCTAATTAATGCTTCTTTTGTGTGTGAGTGGAATTGATATAGTTTAGGAAAAGCTCTATTATAATTTGCATGACAAATATTGCCTACGTTGCAATACAACATACACAGCTCATGTGGTTAATGAAGACACATGTTCTAGAGTACAAAATAAAGCAACCTCAGGCATCACTGCAAAGACAAATTATATGTTTAATAAAATAAATGGAGGAACTGTAAAAATAAGAGTATGCTTAAAGAGAATTTTAAATATCCTTATGAATAATTCTGATGAAAAATACCCCACAATGTTCTTTATTCAATCATATTAACTTACCAGAAAAATATTATCATTATTGCACTGTCCAAATCAAATTATAAGCAACACTGATTAAACATATCATCATTATAAATTAATTCCTAATTCACTGTGGAAGAATTGAGCATAACAAATTTATTCTGTAATTATGCAGATGCCATGCACACATCTGTAATTGCCCTGCAATGATGGAGCGTGTGCTAATACTGGAGTTCATTTTGTGTTGTTATTCTTACCACTCAATTCCCTTGTGATAGTTGTTGCCGTTAAAAAATTGAACTTCTTCAAAGGTTTTTGGGCTAGGGAGATTGCTGATGATGGAGGGGTGCATTAGAAGAAATAAATAAAGTGCAGTTGTTCCTATTACAAAGAAAAGAAGACACATGTTATACAGTAGTATGCCATATTTAACCAAAAATAATATTCAGTAGACCAATTCTTTCCAGTGTTTCCTTACCATTTACTAGGTTATTTCATTTTAATAACAATCCCATTGTGTTTATATTAGCCTATGTGACTCTATTTATCTAAGTCTTTGATTTAATACTGCTACGTAGCCAAAATAAAGTGGACGGGAGAATTGGTCAAGAATTTCAGAAAGCTGTGTTCAATTTTCCTCTGCAGTCAAGTGTCACAGGTGCAGGAAGCCCCTCTGTTTTTGACACATAAATCTCACGAATCATTTGTTGATGTTTGATTTCAGTCAATTAGATCAGTATACTCAATAAAAGCTGATGTGTTATTCATTATATGTCACAGGAGTGATGATTGATGATAATTCTTGATCAGAAAATCACATGTGTTGACCTTAATAAACTTAACATTCATTAGGTCAAGCACATAGGTAATGTAAGGACTGAACAGAGGCTTGAGTAGCTAAAGAAAGGCACTAACAATGGATCTGAGGGAGCTATCACTTTACTCGGAAAGCATACTAAGCATGTAGGATTATGGGGGAAGTGAACTATGCCACTAGACAGAAGAACTGGTAAGAATGAGTGAGTTCAAACCCTTGATTTTTAGAATTGAGAATGGTAGGAGTGGGGCTACTCCCTGCCTAAATCTATGGGCTCTGGAACAAGTAACCATGACACCCCGCTGACAGGACCATAACCATCAGTCATATAAGGAAAACACCTCAAATTCTTCCCCATGTAAATAGAGCATAACTAACATTCCAAACGGAGTCAATAGGAACCATCTACCCCTAAAACCCGCCCATTCCTCATTGTTTGTAAACTCTGTCCACATAAAATAAAGTGCACAAGTTATTTTGTCTTGATTTTCTGAGATTGTTTTATTGAGCTGTAACACATAGGGAAGAGTATGCTCTCCTGAAATTTTCACCGCTGAACCTTGGACCTGCCTAGCTGGTCAGATTTACACCACCACTACTCACTGCTCACCACTGCTGCTGCCGCCTTCGCCATCACCCCTGCCATCATTACTGGCGCTGCCATAGCAGAGAAAGGACCAAGCTACCTGCCCTGTGTGGGATGCCCAAAGCTCCTCACTTCCCTTCTAAGAGCTATGATACTTCGGGACCAGAGCCCTGTGGAACCTTTGTCCCTGTTCCACCTCACCCTCCTAAAGGATAGTGGATAACATAGAATATTAAACATATTAAACATGTGGCTCCAAGTTTGATCGGTAGAGTTAAATAAGGAATGCAACACTAAAGGGCATATAGTTTGTATTTAAACAATATTAAATACGTATTTAAGCAATAATTTCATGGATCTTTTTTTTTAAAAAGGGTACTAATTAACTATTCCTCTAAATAAATAAAATTATAGGGAAAAGCACTTTGGCCTTTTAAATGACAGATCCTGCCCCTATGTCTGAATGTCGCATGCAGGGAATTGTCAGGCAAGACATCTCTTTTTTGGCAAGTGTACTAAGGCAACCTTCATGCTTCACTGGTTATTTGTTTTTTACTAAAATTTAAATGAAAAAAAAAATCACTAGGTCCAAGTTAGAGACATCTGGAAAAACAGGGACCTCAGCTGAGCAAATACTCTTGTCAAGTCAGCCTGTAGGTTAGACTGAGGGGAATTTTCTTGAATAAGGATTATGTGGGAGTACTGGACTACCCCTGCAAGAATTGTCTTGGGAATTAAGGTATGAGAAACAGATCAATGTGAGCTCGCAAGCAAGCCAGTGAGCACAGCCCATGGCTTCTTCAAGTCTTGACTTTAAGTTTCTGCCTTGAGTTCCTTCCCTGACTTACCTCAGTGATAGACTGTGATCTAGGCATAAAAGCCTAATAAAACATTCTCTTCCAAATTGCCTTTGGTCATGGTGCTTATGACAGAAACAGAAAGGAAACCAGGACATACAGGCTTTGAAACTCTAGGTACCAGTGAGCTAAATCTGGGTGAACACACACCTCCATACCCCCCTTTGTGTGTGTGTGTGTGTGTGTGTGTGTGTGTGTCTGTGTCTTTCTGTCTCTCTGTCTCTTTGTCTCTATCTCTCTATCTCTCTTTGTCTCTGTGTATGTCTGTGTCTTTCTGTCTCTCTCTGTCTTTCTTTGTCTCTCTTTCTTTGTCTCTGTCTCTCTGTTTCTATCTCTCTATCTCTCTTTGTCTCTGTGTATGTCTGTGTCTTTCTGTCTCTCTGTCTCTGTCTTTCTTTGTCTTTCTGTCTTTGTCTCTGTCTCTCTGTCTCTGTCTTTGTCTCTGTCTCTCTGTCTCTGTCTCACTGTGTGTGTGTGTGTGTGTTTCTCTTTCTTTCTCTGTTTCATTCTTAGGTTCAAATGCTAAAGGTATAGGTGTGTACATGCCACAGTTGTGAACTTCAGATGTTGCTGTTCTGTCTGAAGCTATTCTCATTCAGGAAGTGCTTCCCAACTCATTTGGCAAAGAGACCCAAGTTGGTATAACATACAGCTTGTGACTGATTCTTCTGTAAGACTTGTGGTTGGTGGTCCTGAAAGTCATGCACATACATATATTAGTGACATTAAAATCTGATCACACATGTCACATTTCTTTTTAGGCAATAGAAGTAGGCTACTTATTAGTCTTGAGTTAGCTACAGAAGTGACTCTTTTATGTATCACTGTGTTGCAACACAAGGCCCCAAAAGTCCCTCTAAGGTTTTGTTTTTTTGTTTTTTATCTTTCAATAATATTTATTTTTATGTATTTTTATTAGTTCTATGAGAATTTTGTACAATGAATTTTGATCATATTCATTACCTGTACTCTTTTAATTTAGGCTGTTAGATCCAATTTGTGCTAACCGTATCTTGGATATGTGCAATTCCAAACTTATTTCTCTGTGAGTACTTGGGAAGAGGGTTTGGTATAGATGTCTAATTTAGGCCTGAACATTTCACATTATTCATTTATCTATACCTTCACAAGTTGAGGGTCTGTATGTTAATCGTCATCTATTACAAAAAAGGAGCTTCTTAATTAATGAGTGTAATAAGTACCTAGTAGATAGTTTACTCATATTTTCATTTGACAAAAATAGCAGCAATTTCTCCTGTAAGGCTCCTGTTCTGCAAACTACAGATTCAGTGTCTAGATGGGTTTCTGTTTGCAGAGATGCCCTTAGTTCCAAGTAGCAAGTTGTTGGTTACTCCCGTAGTATCTATGTCCCTACTGCACTAGTTTGTTTTGCCATGCTAGTTATTATTGCAGTACTCCAAATTCAAAGCTGAATAAAATTGATGATTGCTTTATTCCTCCTCTAGTAGCAAGGATAACAGTATTCAGAACCATGAAAGCTAATCAGCATGAATGAAGCTTATGGGTTAATACCAGCTTATATTCTCCATGTTCTATGACTTAAGCATGTAGTATCTTAGCAGTAGGGTCTTATCCTCAAGTCCTATAAGATAGACAAGAACACTGCCAATGACTTGGAAGGTTTGGTTGATGGGACCTTATCTGCAAATAGTTCCAAAGATAGTGACAATATCTGGCAATGTCTATTTTTAGCTATGTTGCCTAAACTTGATAGCTCTCTTCTAGGAGCAAATAAATGTTCTTTTAAAATTATGTATATATTTGGGAAGTTTCTGCAGTAATATATTTCTGTATGAATTTTTTCAGAGGTACTTTGTGTTATTTATCCCTCCCAGTATATCCTCTTCTAAACAGTCCCCCTCCCAATCTAACCCTTTCAAATCTATAATTCCCCTGAGGTCCCTTATACTAAGGGAAACTATCTCCTGCTCTTGAATTCTTCCTCTCTCAACCCTTTGCTACTTTCCTGACCTCTATAGATATTCCAAATGAAAGACATATATCTGAAGATTCCAACATAGGATTCTTGATTGCTTTTTCAATGTTTGTTATTTAATTATAGAAATGTTACCAACTACTCTGTGTTAGCTTTGTATTCTGCTACTTTCCTGAATGTATCTATAAACTGTGGTCTTCTAGTGGAGTCTTTGGGATCTTTATGTTGAACGACATATCTAAAAATAAGGATACTGTGGCTTCTTCCTTTCCTATTTCTATCCTCCCATGTCTTCATTTATCTTATTGATCTAGCTAAGACTTTAAATTTTCTATTGAACAGACCCAGAGGTAGGTTGCACATCCTTCTTCTTTCCGTGATCTTAATGACAATGATTTGAGCTTTTCCTTATTTAAAAAGGTAACAGCTGTAAGCTCATTTGCTGGAATATACTTACAATTTATGTATGTTGAGAAATCTCTAGAATGGCATCAATTTGATAATTTCATAATTGCTTTGATGTATTCTTGAATTTAGTTTGCAAATATATTGTCTTAAAAGGCTTAACATCATGTTCAGCAGCAAAACTGACCTATATTTTCTACTTCATGTGGATCTATGTCAGATTTCTGTATCAGAGTGATACTGGCTTTATAAAAATAATGTGAAAATGTCCCTTCATTTTTTTATTATGTGAAACAGTACAAGAAGCATTAGTGCTAGTTATTTTTTTAGTTTCTGTATAGAATTCTGCATAGAATCTAACTAATCTTTGTCTTTTTTAGTTGAGAAATTTTTATTTAACACTTCTATGACATTGCACACTACAATAGGTATATTTAAATTATTTATTTTATCTTTATTTGGCTTTGGTAGAACAGTGTGTGTGTGTGTGTGCATGGATTTGCTTTAGGTTTCCCAGTTTTATTAAAATAAAGATTTTAAAGTATATCTTAATGATTCTTTGAATTTCCTCAAGCTCTTTGCACATCTCCCCCTTTTTATCTCTGATTATCTTAAATTAGAACCTCTCCCTATTGAATTTGGTGAACTTAACTAAACTTTTGCCAATCATGTTATTCTTTTCAAAGCATACATTCTTTTCAATGCTACATTTCATTGATCCTTTGTAGTTTTTTAATTTTTATTTTTATTAATTTAGCT